ACCAGGGAAAAGCCTACCTTCTTCTTAGAGTTTTACTATAGACAATGATGCACTTGCTGCCTGAGAAAGGTTTTATTTCTTTGCATCATTCACACCTTATTAAGCATGTTCTCTCAAACAGTCAACAATGAACCAGTAAAATATATCCTTTCTGTTAACAATAAAGTTTAGTGTCTAACCCCTTTGAGGTGATTTGTCTTGCTTTTCTAATTTGTTTATCATTTTTAGCAAGGCTTCTTTCCCCTCCAGATACAAAACCAACACCTGTTCAGGAAATTTACTTTAACCCTTTCCAAAGTATTAACACGCCTTTGAGTGTATAGTCATTGCAACTTTGACACATTCAGCAAACGAACACAAGCACTAGAGTAGAAATGTATTAAGTCTGGGTCAAATGAAAATCTGACTTTGTTCATTTAAAAGTAGTTAATATTTTGAAAACAACACATTTTATAAAAAGCCATGTGGGTATATGTGTGTGCGTGTGTGTGCGTGCGTGTGTGTGTGTGTGTGTGTGGTGGGTATTCTACTTCATTGCAAAGTAGCACAGTTCTTAAAAAGGAATGAAATAGACGCTGGTAAATTTCTGTCGCTGGCAGAAGGGGAAGGAAAAAAGAGCAGGGGAAGGGAGAGAAGGAGACTAGAAAGAGGAAGGAAGAAAGTCCATGTCCGGTTCCCTATATACAAAATTCTAGCATTTACGTTTTTGAATGAATTAGATAAATTCCTCTTAGAAGAACAGAGTACCTCACCTGCAGGACTTTAAAGACTTCCTCTGTAAGACTACGGACAGTGTACAATACTTTTGTAGGCTGAGATTCAGTGGGATAGCATTAAATTATCTGTGGTGCACTGAACTCCTTAAGATTTTTTCCTTTTAATGTGGCTTCAGTGTTTCATATTTATCTACAACAGCACACTAGCTTTTAATCGTTTTGGTAGGCTTCCAATAGAAGCCTAGTTAGTATTTTTCTCCAGGAAAATTTCAGGGAAAATTAAATGTTTGAACCCTTTACAGGAATACAACTAAAAGATTAAATTGGCTGGGGTATCTTTTGTAGGACAGTGAGAAATGAGAAAAAGAACAAACTTTTACTCAGTGTCTATTAGATGCCAAACACTCTTACATAAACTAATTTAATCCTGAGAGTAACCTCTGAAAGTTGGTACGACTACTAACGCAGCTCACAGATTATGAAATGGAGAGATTAGGTCATTATTAGCCTAGCCCACGGTCACACTGCTAGTTACAGCTGAAATTCAAACTCAGTTTCCAAAGCACGTATTGTTTACACTTTATCACATTAACAATTTTGTAAATTGGGATGTTAGTGATGAACTGAAATATTGTGAATTGTCCTTCAATTGGATATTCTTCAGTTTTCACTTCTGGCTTTTGGACTGAATCACCTTCTTTCTTATACACCTCTGCTATGTAACGATCACGGCACAGTGGGAAATAGAACATCTATTCCCTCTACTTTAATTCGTAGCCATCCTATGTCTAAGAAAAGGAAATTTTAGCACAAAAATCATGCCTCCACCCTGACGGATGTGTCAAACTGCATGGCTAATTCTCTTTGTAGTACTTGCAACTGAGCTTCCATAGTTCTGCTGTAAATGAGAACCTAGATACAGGACTTGGGTTACCGAGCAATAGATGGCGGTGAAGAAGAGAGAAAAGGCTGCATTAAGAAAAGGAAACTCGGGAAGTGATGAAGTTTTATGGAAGCAAGTGAGAACAAGAAAGATCAGGAAGGAAGCAAGGAGGAAGAGTTGACTTCACAAAGCACAAAAAAACCCACAATATTATTGTGGCTCTGAATAGAGTTTTCTTAGTGATTAAGTGACCCCTATTTCCTTTCCTGTAAAATCATTTCTCAGTTTGCAGGATCACGACTCCATCTGTGCAGTTGCTGGTTCATTACTACACACTGTCCCGGTGTTGAAAAATAAGTCATCTGCCAGTTTAAATATTATTGACTCGATGACTGAATTCTTTTACTAGGAGTGCATGTTGCGATGAAAGTCCAGTCTTTTGTTGTTTTTAGAATACTTACTCTAGCTGTACATGCAACTGTATTATTCTCTATCATTTTTCTGTCTGCTATCAAAAAGTACTAAATTTATGGTGGATCTATGCAATCTGCTATCTGAAAGTATTAGGTTATCGGAGGAATATACAATCATTAATCTTAAGGAGTTTTGTAAAACATTAGATTGTCATGAAAATACAAATATCCATTTGCCTTTCTCCAAACCACAAACAGATTTCATCTCCATAGGTTTAAAGAATGTCTCACATTCACATACATAAATTTCACGAGTGCCACTCATCTGAACAACTCCAGAAATATGGGGTGCAATCAACAGCCTTGTTGTGGAACAGCTCACTTGCCCAACACTGTTTGCTTCGAAGGGAGAATGATGAAGACTGGTTTGTCTGTTCTATCATTCATACTTAAAGGTTACTTAATAATCTTAAATTTCAATGAATAATAACATCAATAATAATGGCCGTTAACATTTAATTATGTATTATATGTTAGAAACTGTCTTGGGTACTTTGTCTGTAATACCTCATTTTTCCCTTCAAAACAATTCTACAAGGTAGGTAGTATTATTAAACCCATTTTACAGATGAAGAAGGTGAGGCTAAGCTACAATTCTGTAAGGTAGGTACCATTATTAACCCCATTTTACATATGAGGAAGGTGAGGCTAAGCTACCTTGGGAAAAAGAACTTGTCCAAAGTCACACATTGGGCATTAGTCATACTTGGACTTGAATACAAGATTTTCTGACTTCAAAACCTGCTACACTGCTTTGCTGGTCCCACCCAGAGGGAGTAGGAATTGTCAGAATCCTTCTAAGACAACTAAAGAATGAATGCAAGTTTCCACTAGCCTCAGGCAGGTATCGGGTTGACACTAGGTGGACCTTTTCTGAGACAGGTGTACTGACAAAGCCTTCATCTGGCTTTATGAACACTTCAACTCTCAGAACAGCTGAGTAGCATTTTTTTTTTCCTTTAGGAAATCTTGGTATATGATTACTCAAATATGCCTAAGAAGTCAGCTTACAGACTTTTCCATAAATAAATAAATATACACATATAGATAGATAGAAATAAATAAACGAAAAAGAAAGCTCAAAATCCAACAATTAAATATGTCTGTGATCCAGATTTTGTGCTTTTGAACAAGTAGAGCCTGACTTCCTCCGAAAGTCCTGGATGTATGATTACAGGGAGCTTCACCCCCTTTTCTCCTAGAAAGAGCTCTACATAGACGTGTAATAATAATTTTTGTGTTTCTCTGGGGAGCATATTTAGTTGATTCCAATAATAATATCTATCATGAATTGAATGCTTACTCTTTTCCAAGCACCTTTTAAGTAATGAAATATTTCTAATCACTATACATCTTAACAATAATAGGCTTTTATAACTATTTGTCATCCATATTCAACTGAATCTTTAAATTTCCACTTTGTACCTCTCTCTGCTTTGCATTTAAGCATGGATTTTATTTTAATGTGTGCTGATTTTCCTTAAACAAGACAAAAGGGATCCATGAGTACAAAGTGCAGCAATGCCCTATCTTTTCATCAGTGAGACTGCCTGATCCATTTTTAGGGAGATACGATTCTCTTTTCTCTCACCACTCTGGGTGCATATGGGTCTTCCTAAGATTTCTCCACCAAAGCGGCAGAGAAGAATGCAGATACACCACCACAATATCTGGGAATAATCTGACACAGCCTGCCAGAAGCAAAAAAATTCATTGTATCTTGTTTATTTTTAAATTCATAAGCATTTTGCATTCTATTCTATAATATAACCATGCTTGTTTTACTGTAAACATTGAGAGGTTTTTTTCCCCTCAAAATCTCTAAGTAAAAGTGGATATTGCCTGAATATGCCCCAGGTTTGCACAGCCCTCAGAACAAGGCTGTATCTCTGGCGTTACAAGAACTTAGTCAAGAAGCATGGATTGTATATCAAATTTTATTTTAAGGGACATTGACCTGAAGCTAATTGCTTAACTTGGGATCACTAGCACTATTACCACTTCATTGTCTGACACAAATGTCTACCCCTATTCTACTAGAGCAGATGGAAAGCAACTTTCCGCAAAGCGAATCTTCTTTTCTAGACACCTTCCATATTATAAAGTAATGATGAATTACTCCAAGAAAAAACTCCAAAGACACAAGTTGAGCACTTTTTGTGAAAAAGTTCTGATGCTGACTCAGGTTTGGCAAGATGGATGGTAAAGTGCTAAGATGTATAGAATCATATTCCCTACCCAGAAGTTACTTTTACATCTTTCCTGACTCTACAACATAAATATTCTCCGAGAACATAACATTTTTTTCTTTCTTTCTTCTGTTTCTTCTTTTCCCTTCCTTTCCTTTCTTATTTCCATTGTCCAGCAGAGATGAACTATCAGGCTCTACTTTACCACAAGGTGACCCTCAGTCTGAATTTATTGTTTTAATTTCCCATGCTTCAAATTATATAAAGTGAATTAGTACCTTGTCTCTTCTATAAGCTTAAAATAATCTCTTTAGAGTTCACTTAAAGGAAGAGATTTCTATAGCAATAAGGAAGCAGAAAAATACGGAATAGTAGTTCAGAGAACTAGGTTTGCCTGGTCCTTATGTCTATTAATAAATGTACCTGGGTTCCTCAACTTCAGATAAGATCAAGAATACTGTGCACAAAATTTCCTTGCAAATATTTCACTTTGAGTTAATTTCAAAGTATTGAGCTAATTATGTTCATAGTCCAGAACTCCTTTCATTTCCTGATTGAATCCCATGGCAAAGATACCTCCTGCAACAAAACTTCAAATCCACGAGGAAGGTTTCTCAGAGAAGATAAAACAAAACGCTTTCCTGAGGACCATGATGTCATGTTAAAAGTCTGTATGCATGGAGCCTACACGTTCCTCCAAACATAGGCTAAGCACAAACAAGAAGCACGACATCCTCACCTGGGTCAGGTGGCACACAGGCACAGGAAAAGTGAGTATTGTAGCCCACTTTGAAGTCGGAGTTGATGGGGTAGTAATCAGCTAGCTTGATCATCTTCTTGAAAGCATCATAAATAAAGATGAAGCTAATCAGAGAGGAGAAGCCCTCCTCAGTGAAGCGAGTGAAGTACTGAACCAAGAAGCTGGCATCGGTGGCTACCAAAATGAGACACAGGAAGGCTGACCACAGGCCAATCCAAAGGCGAAATTCCAAATAGTCAAAGTTATGGTCCCTGGAAAGAAGAAAGAAAGGTATTTAGACTCCTCCTGCCCGGAACACAAAGAATAATATATAACTACCCAATGACTGCAGAATGATTGCCAAAAATACAAATCACTTTTAGCTACTGGATATAGCTCATTCTTGATTTTACCCAGAAAATATTAATTTTAAGAATTTGGTCTAGTGATATTATTATGCTACCATAAAGAAATAATTCCAGAAGTTTGAGAAAATCATATCAAAAGTAGTCATACTATTTGTATGTTAATAACTCATTAATTTTCTCATTCAATAAATGTGGTCCCTGCCTTTGTAGAGTTTATAGAATAAGCAATTTGAAAAAATAACATTGGTACCCAGTAGGCACTCAAGAAATGTTTGCAAGCTTTACTGGTTAATAAAGACACAAAGATGAATAAGTTCTGTGTCGCCAAGTCATCACAGTCTACAGAGGAAGACAAATTGATCAACACAATCACTCTATAAAATACTAAGTGACATCTAACAGTTCCCATGGAGTGTCACAGAAGAAAGAGTAACTAATTTTGGCTGGCGGGACAGATGAAGTTGCAGAAAAAACTCAAGGCATTGAAGTAGGAACTTTCCAGACACATCAGGGGGAGTCAAGCGAGAAAGAGGAAAGAGCACTTAAAAAGGTGGGTAGCATGAGACCGCATGTAATGCCACTGCCCATAGAGTGTCACCAACATGAGGAAAAGGGATTAGAAACAGGCTAAAGTCAGATCAAGGAGAGCTGTCTTGCATGTTACAGCCAGACACCATCATTTCTCATGATGCTTGCCCACAGACAAGAAGTTGTCTGTGAAGCATCTCATGACTACCTTTTTTCTGTCTGTGCCTGTCCCACAGCAGTCTTAGAACAGGTTGCCACCATCTAAGGAAGCCATTGTTTTTCAATGCCCTCTCCATTTCTTACAAATGAATTAGTTTAAGATTCACAACTAGGAAAAGAGGGTCACGTGTTGACATTTTCCATTTCATACTGATTCGTTTAAAATTATGTGGAGAGTGCTTTACAATATTTTTTCTCATTATTTACTTGTGATGAGAAAGCACATAGTAGTAGTCACATTCCTTGTATGAGAAAAAGAACTAAGTCAAGGATGCCTGCTTGAAGCTCTACAGCCCTGCTCTTAGACAATGAGTTTCTGACGATTGTTAGCCATGTATTTTAATACTTTCCTGAAGGCACTGTATCAACACCTTCACCACCACCAACCCAGTCTGCGCCACCAAGGAGTCTCTGCCTGATTGTCATAAGAATGTCCTTATTGATATCCACACTTGCCCTACTCAAAGGCAGTTTCCACATTCCAGCCAAAATGATCTTATTAAATGTGAATCAGACACCCCAGTTTAAAACCTTTCAATGCTTCCCACTGCTCTTAGCTCTTACCTAGCACAGTGCCTGGCACATAGGTTCCCAATAAAGACCTGCTAAATGAATTCAGACATGCCTGCGACTTAGGACTTGACTGAGACAGTTACTGACATTGGCCTATGAGCTATCACATGTCATCGAATGATGACTGACTGAAAATTTAATAGAATATTAGAATTAAAAGTTCCTTAGATATGGTGATGGCTAATTTTATGTGTCAACTTGGCTGGGCCATGGGGTGCCCAGGTATTTGGTTAAACATTATTCTGGGTGTTTCTGTCAGGGTGTTTTTGGATGAGATTAACATTTAAATTTGCAGACCGAGTAAAGCAGACTGCCTCCATAATGTAGGTGGGCCTCATCCAATCAGTTCTTCACCTGAATAGAACAAAAAGACTGGCCTCTCCCCAGCAAGAGAGAACTCTCCAGCAGACTGTGTTGGGACTTCACCTGTAATATCAGCTCTTCCTAGTTCTACAGGAGACAGCCTTTGAACTTGGACTGGAACATCAGCTCTTCTGGGTCTCCAGCCCACTGGCCCACCCTGCAGATTTCGGACTCACGAGCCCCTATAATCATGAGAGCCAATGCCTTACACTAAATCTCTATATGTATACACACATCCTATTCGTTCCCTTTCTCTGGAGAATCTTGACTAATACAGATACCAATTAGTCAAATTTGCCTCGTTTTATAGATGAGGACATCAAAGCTAATGGAAGTTAAGTCACTTATCTAATGCCAAGGTTTTAACGGCAGAGCTGGACAAGAACACAGACCTCTGTATTCTTGTTCTGATTTTTTAAAAAATTGCAGCACGGTCCCCCTATCCTACTTGTATTTAGTGCATGATAGGGTGGGCCTTAAAATCACTGTCCTTTGTTTCCCTCTTCTCGCCAAATCACAAAAATTGAAATACTTTACCAAAGCAGGAGACTATTAACACTGGATTGTTATGTTCTGTGGATTTCCTGGAATCTTTCTGAAGACACCCCTTGCATTCCCTCTAGTTCCCTTTCCATCTGGAACCCCACTGTTTAATCCTATGCAGGTCTTTGTAAGACAAGTAGACCATAGAAAAAGCTAAATTCTAGGAATTTGAGATAATTTACATTATCACAGAATGAGTCAGTCTCAGAGTCTCTGAGAAAGAAATACAGTTTTATTACCTCTGAGCCAACAGACTTTTTTCTTAAAATAAAGGAAAGTTTTAAACAATCTCCTAGTTTTGCTTCCCTAACAAGACAAAAGAGCAATCCTGATTCGTTCTAAGAATATCAATGCTTGTTTATAGAATTGATGCTTACAGGACAGAATGAGAAACAAATCCATTAACTAGTAATGGTTAGGAATACTATCAGTTTTAATGCAAAGGAAAAAAATGCATAATGTAGAAACTTAAATCTTAGGACCTAAACAATATACGAAACTAGCTGCTCTAAAATACTTAAATACTCCCAGCGTAGTTCTAAGAATAACCCAAATAAAATCACTAAAAACAATGACACTTCATTATGAAAGTGATATGTTTACAGCAAGAAGAAAGAGGAACCAGAGATGAGAAACTTTTTTAAACAAGTTGATCAACAGTAATGACTACCATAAAATGGCAACATTACATTCAATAAGACTATCAGTCCTCTTGGTGCCAAGTTTAAATAGCAATTAAGTTATAAAAAGTAAGTGATAATAGAAGCAAAAGAAACTATGGTGAATTAGAAGGAGAAAATGAATTTATGTATCTGGTATCACCGTGTTCCAGTTTTGATTTATAGTTTCTGAGTAACACAAAACCAAGGACACAGACGAACTGAAGAACTCATATTTGAAACATACTACAGAGGGAACGGCCCGGTGGCACAGCGGTTAAGTTCACACGTTCCACTTCTCGGCGGCCCAGGGCTCGCCAGTTCAGATCCCGGGTGCGAACATGGCACCACTTGGTACGCCATGCTGTGGTAGGCATCCCACATAGAAAGTAGAGGAAGATGGGCACGATGTTAGCTCAGGGCCAGGCTTCCTCAGCAAAAAGAGGAGGACTGGCAGTAGTTAGCTCAGGGCTAATCTTCCTCAAAAAAGAAAAAAAAGAAATATGCAAATATGCTACAGAAATTAATGTTCAGCCACTGACAAATAAATATGAACTCTCTAAACTAACTGAAAAAACTCAGTAATATAATAGAAGAAAATAATCAGTTGAAGGCCTCTAAGTAAATTGTTCAAAGAATATAAGGAAGAAATTATTGAACAACCAAATAACAAATATACAAGCTAAAATCCAACTTTAATTATGAAGTTTCTGCATGGCTTAGAACACATTGTTAAAACTTCTTTTAGATTTCTCACTCAAGAAAAAGAAAAGGAATCGAATTCTCCATTATTTGGATAAAATGTGTAAAAACAGTGCAAAGGAGACTGTAGAATTGGGGAAACAAAACTAGAAGTGTCTTTTGGAAAGTTGTGAGCTGTTTGCCTCATTCTGCTACTAATTTTAAAAAGTGACAGCTATCATTCACAGTCCTTTATGATTCTCCAGTTTACAGGGCAAACATTAAAACCTACATCTCGTGTCAGAGATGTATCTGGGGATTATGTGGAGTTACTGTTTGAGTCCACTGATCCTACAAAAGAAGGATTCATCTGTCTCAAAAAATGGTAAAATTATGTTGGGGAAAATCTGGGCAAAACAGAGTCAAACAGTTTCTTTACCGAAGGACTTCTCAGATCTCTTAGTAAGCTAAAGGGTAAAGTGAGTTACCAAGAGCAGGAGATAATATACAGCACTTCCTAGACATATTAGAATCACAGAAGCTTTTTTTGTTTTTCATAAAATGGCTAATGGGACTAGTAATTGATAAAAAACACTTTGGGAAATAGTGATCTATGCAAATACTCTGTATCTAGACAAAATATTAGCATTGCTGTTATAATATAAAAGCAAATGATACAGCATTATAAATAAAATAATAAGATTTGCCACATAAGCACCACATGTTACTCAGTGACGGATTTAAAGCACGGTTTCTCAAATGTTTCTTGTGTTGTTTTACAACTGTTTTCAAATAAATCACTTGGAACTATGTTTACATTACCAATTATGATGAAACAGAAGAGAAAGTGAGAAGGGAATTTGCTTAGTGAAAGGAAATAATCTCTATCCTACAATTATCTAAAGTAAACCAGGATGCAAACATTTTCTGTAGATTAAGGCTCTGATCACATTGCATCCAATAAATCTTTCTGCAAAGGTTGTGCATGTTTGTTCCTGTTTATAATACATGCTTGTTTAATCTTTCCATAAAGGCTTTCTTGTCTCACACAATGTTTTCTTAAACATATAAAAACTCTGACTCTTTCTATAAACTGACATTAACAGAATTCTTTCCAATGTTCTTCTGAGAATTATGATGGAGGAGGGATTTGTGGTAATGATCTACAGAAAACTCACAACATTATTTGAAATTTGGAATTTGAAATTCTCAGAAGACCCTCCCTGATGCTGTCAACCCAGTTTTCAAAAAACTAGTTTTAAATCCTCATTCCCTCCTCTATCTTGCGATCATTTTGATGGCACACAGTTTCAAAGACTATACATGAGTCTTTAAGTCCATGAGGTATCATGTAAGTGATGACATTTCTAACATTAAAATTCTAAAAATCTAGAACGATATAAGAATATGGAAATTCCAACAAGGAGTACTAGCCAGTCGTATGAATGTCTGCAGTCTGTCTAAGGACTGTGACCTGCCAGTAAAGGCGCGTCTCTCTTAGAGGTATCAAGTTCATTAGAAAGAGGCCAGAAGACCCAATTTGATTTTGAATCTATTTGTATGCTAATGTGGCCACTTGGATAATTCACTTAACTCAATTTTCTCCTTCTCTAAATGATCCATTAGTTTCTAAAAGAAAATATTGATATCATAATTGTCATGCCCATTAGTAGCGTCTAGTGACTCTGTGAGAGATGTAGGCTCTGGAACCAGAAAGGGGGAATTCAAATCCCTGCTCTGCCAATAACTGGTGATGTAACCTTTAGCAAATTACTTACCACTCCACGCCTGCTTTCTCATCTATAAAACAGCATATGGTCCCCGCCTCACAGGACGGCTACAAGAATTAAATGAGGTGGTACATATAACGTGCTTAGGATAATACTCAATATATGGTCAGCCCTCAATAAATGTTAGGTATTATTCAGCCGAGTCTTGAAATGTACCTTTAGTTAAGAACACTGGAATTGGGGTTAGGAGCAGTGGATCATAGACGCATCCAGTCTCTGGCATTAATGAGCCATGTGATCTTGAACAAGTCATTTCATCTCTCTAGTGTGTCAGTCAAGATCATGGCAAGAAACAGAAGGCATTCTCAAGTGGGATTCTGAGGAAAATTTAATAAATGGGCTATTTGAAGAGGTGTGAGTAACAGACAATGGCGAGGCACTCAGGGACTAGCAACAGCAGGAAGTCATTTCTACTTCCCAGCTTGAAAAGGCCCAAAGAGGAACAGAGTTGCCAGAGCCTGGTGAGGGCTAGAGCCAGGGTGGAGAAGCCACCTGACAGGGGCTATGCTCAGGGAACAAGACACTGCCAGACTGTGGTGGTAAAGCAGAGTCAGTGAGGAGTGGGGAGGCAGATATACTCTGACTTCTCTCTCTCTTCCTACCTACGGATGCTCTGCACTAGCCAGACCCAACAGGAAGCCAGAGGGCAAAGGAGCCTGGGTGTTGTAGTCCACAGGGTCTGCCTCCTGAGACACAAAGCAGGACAACAAGGCAGGGAATAATGGGGGAGAGGGCAAGCAGATAATATGACATATGGGGCTCAGTTGAAACAAATGTAAAATGAGTGCTGGACTACCTAATGTTTAAGCGCCTTTCATCCCTTAAATCTTAAAATTCCCACATTCTCAGGGCCGGCCCCGTGGTGTAGTGGTCAAGTTCGGTGTGCTTTGCTTCGGTGGCACAAGATTCACAGGTTCAGGTGCCAGGTGTGGACCTACACCACTCGTCAGCCATGCTGTGGCGGTGACTCACATACAAAGTGGAGGAAGACTGACACAGATGTTAGCTCAGGGCTAATCTTCCTCAAAAAAAAAAAATCCCATATTCTCTTCTACCTAATTACTATTCTGTGCTCTGTCTAGACTACGAATGCTCTACAATTAATCCTAATTTATGATTAGATATGTATATACATACTTGCTGAAATTAAACAGAAGCCTCTCAAAAACTAGCACAGGTCCGGTGCTGCTCAAAATAGTGAGTGGTTGACCAGCAAAGAGGCAAAAGATGGCTCCAGAGACAGCTGTGCCCAGGAAACTCTCCAACACGCCCTAGTAGAAAGAAAACATAGGTGTTAAAAGAAACACATCTTTTTCTTCCTATGTATGACGTCACTAGGGAAATTAAGCCACTTGAATATGCTATTAGGAGGGCTGTAGCAATCATATCAAACAGATCTGAAGAATAAAGAGCCTTACCAGTATGAATATCACCATTTCTTTCACTATACACATGATTTAGTCATTCTACCATACTCCAAGGGCTGAATTGCTCCAAAGAACTATAGTGACTGTAATGACTGGTGGTTGACCAGAGACAACAAAAGGTGACTCCAACCCATTCTAAAAGATCAGTGGAAGCGTCTGCACATAAAATCACATTACACAATCCCACCAAGTGGGTAGATGTCATTTAGTCCTTTGGGTGGCATTTTTCTTTGTGGTTATCTTCAGGGTCTGTTTGAGCTCGACTTCACCTTGCACATAGCAGGTACTTATAAGTAGCTACATTCCATGCACAAAAGCTATTTTTTCCCAGAGGAAAGGTTTCCATGTGGAGGAGGGAGCAAATGGGACACAAAAAGTGATTTGTCCTCTATCCTGCAATCACTAAGACATCAATTCCAAAAAATAGTCTTATTAGGCATTCATTGTCCAATGTAAACACACAAGAGCTTCAATTTACTTTATCTTAGAGGAAAAAAATGTGCAGAGACACGAACAGCTAAACCTTTGTGGCCATATCTCCTTGTAGTTATATCTCTGGAAATCAACCCATTATTTGCCTTTAGCATAATAAGAACAAAAAAACAGGAGCTATCAACATCACTGACTTATAAAATCATCCCAAATTTCTTAATCAAATCATGTGGGATCAGATGGCAAACTAGCCTGTTTCTTATATTTTTCATCATTTCAAACTTCAGGTAGAAAAGCACATGTTTATTTGTGGGAAGGTCCTTTTGTAAACTTAAAATAGCATTTTATCAAGAGGTGATTTTTAAATATAAAGAGGTGACAGAAACCCTTTATTCATAATAAGGCTATAAATCTTAACCACAAAACCTGTGAGATAAAACATTTTTCAAATGAGTAGATAAAGACATTCTATAGCTTTAAAAGACACACAATCATCTTTAGTGGTAAATTAATTTACATGGTACAGGTAAATTATGTGATCTTTCTAACTTTACGTGTATACTAAAACAAAACGGTACTAGGAAGAGTGCCCTCTTCAACTGAACGATAAATTATCTATTCATAGAAGTATGATTTATGTTTACATAAAACAAGTTACCTCTTAATCTAAACCACCCTCTGACGAGAGTAGAGTGAATTTCTGGGGAATCTGAGATGCCCCTCAGTCATTCCCTACCCCCAACCCCCAACAGTTAACATATCCATCTGTCAGCCTCACTAAGTCACCTCTTCCCATTTCCTCAAAAGTTCTCCAGAAACTTTTCATTACTTATCATGTAATATACACAAAATGATTATAAAGAAATTGATTTTTAAAAATCAACTTACAGAACTAAATACACTAAGTGCCATCTCCACTCAAAAGCCATCCTAGGAGACCCCTATTACAGTGTTTATTCAAAATGTTTCTTACACTGCTTCAGAGCCAACAATATTCTCCTTAGAAAGACACTGGCAATAGCACATCCTCCTCTTTTAAGGGTATAGTTCAATTCAGGAAGTCCTTTAGACCAGTACTACATAATAATGTGGTTGTGGTGGGGATGGGGAAAAAAACAAGGGTTGACAAGTAATAAGACTGCCTTCTCACATGGCGAGGGGACACATTCCGAAACAACTCAGAAAAACTACTGTCCAAGAAGTCTAGGTTTGAAAATCTGCCAGAAGGGGACCCTATTTCCATGGATGTGAGTTCTACTGCGTGGCTGAAGGGTGCCATCTCGTTATTTTATAGCCCTTCCACACATAATCAGAGTATCCACCTCATTCCTCCTCAGAGGGCAGAAAGCAGAATAACAAGCAAGGCTAGCAGAACCAGGCTGCAATGACGCAGAGAAGAAATTCCCTTGTGCCCAACAAATAGTATTAGTCTTGATCTCTTACATGTGAAGACAATGAGATTCAGGGGGGTTCAATGATATGAGCAAATGCATATTCAATGTGCACAACAAGGCTTTGGAGTATGGGTACCTGCCCAACCACTACCTCACCCTTAGCAAGAACAAAAGCTGTGCCTTTAGCTGGGAATTTCACAGACATGCAGTTTTTCACTCCCTTTGCATTGACATTGGGCTTTTTATGTCTTTATAAATTATCTTTCTTTTTCATGACTTACTTTAGTGTGTGTAACATGAAAGGGCAGAACTGGAATGCTCCACGTGGCAGGACAAGTCACACTCTGGGTATGTGTGATAAGCAAAGTTACACTGTATCATTCTTTATCAAGCATGGAGGAGTGCCTATTTCTCATTACTACTGCAGAAACAAAACACAGCACAGACTAGGTGTAAGAGAGAACAGGAAGGAAGAAAGGAGGAATGTGAGATTAACAATTCTCTACTCGATTTGACAATGCTGTTAATTTCTGTGAGGGCACGAACAGGGTCTCCGGGGTCAGCATGTTTCTCTTCCTCCCATCGTGCTGTACACTGTCCCTCCACGTGCTCCAGAGGCACACAAGAAACGCTAAAGGAATCGAAGAAGAAACACCCAAATTGCCCTCTAGGTTCCACTAATCAAAGGGCAACAGCCATTGTTGCTCATTCAGTAAAGATAACAACTAATTTCTTCCAGAAAATCAGCTTTGATTTATGGAAGCCATGTGACTGTTAAAAGGCAGATTATTTTTAATTCAGTACTTGATCCTTTGGTAAGTGCTAGTTTCCATTCTGTTGCTGACAATTTTGAAACAGAGACAGGTGATTTATTATACACACTGCACTGGAAACTTGCTTAAACATAGAGATGCTTCCAGAGTTTCTGAGAAAAGAACTATTTTAACCACATTTTGACATGTTACTCTTGACAATACAGAAATTTAAAAGATAATCTCGTGCAATAAATAACTTTAGTTTAACTGTAACTAGAATTTAAAGCAATTTATAAGGTGAACTATCAGAAACCCCTTTTCTGATTTATTATATTCAGCATTCACTATTATAAAAAAGGAAACCAATGTGTGGATGTGTGTATTTTTCATAGCTATAATTCATAAAAAACACTTCTACACCTGATTTCTCACAGAGGAACAAACTCCCTAGCAATTCATGAGAATGCAGACGGCTGAGCTCTGAAGTGGTGCAGAATCAGGCTCCACAAAGCGCTCCAGCTCCATTTTGGTTTGGCTTTTCTTTTATTCCATTTCTCATCAAGAGTCATCAACAGTAGAACAGGAGAAAGAGCAACCAACCAGCAGTCAGGAAATCTAGAGTCTAGACTTCGTTCCGCCACCAAACACCTGATGATCTTGGTTATGTCACTTAACCTTTGTCAATTTTAGTTTCTTCATGTAGGAGAAAAATATTGAGATGATATACGTACAACAGTGAACTCTGGAGTCAGGCCATCTCAAGTCGACATCTAGACTCATTTACTCATTGACATTTAATCAATGTCTTGAAGCAAGTTACTAAGTCTCGCTAAGCCTCATACAGTTAGTATGCATATTAGATTGATAATGTATACAAAGTGTTTAGCATAGTCTCTGACAGATTATATGTTTTTCATGAATAGTAACATATACATAATGTATTTATTTAGATAAGGAACTTGAACTAGATGATTTCCATGGTGGTTCAGCACAGAGCATGTCTCGGAGTCAGGGATATCTGAGTTTACATCTCAGCTCCAGCAGTCACGAACTTCTCTAAATCCTAATTCTCTTTTCTGTAAAATCAATGGCTATTTCACAGGATAATTATTTGGACTAAAGAAGACAATAATATATAAAGAGCTAAGGATAAAGTAGAGATAAAATGTTAGTTCACTTTTCTTCACTGCTTCTCATCCCCTTCCTCACAACCTACCTCCGTTATTTCTCTTTTCTTCAAAAGAGGAAGGAGATGAGAGAGAAACTCAAAGGAGTGACATGAAAAGAAAAGACAAAGATTAATTCTCAGAGGAAAAGGGAAAAAAAGACTCTTTAGATGCTCGCTATTTCCCAGATCAAATTCTAAATCAACAGAAGCCTTGGGCAACACTATAGCCATTGAGAGTTGTTTCTTTTCATTTCTTGTGTTACTAAACACATGGAATCAGCTATCATAAAACAAAATAGTTTGTTTTACTTGACCGCAATGAAGTAAAAATCCACATCTGAAATAATTTGTGAACATTTTTCTGCTGACATCAGGGTATGAAGTTAAACGAAAGATGGTCCTTGTTTGACAAATCAGCCAAGAAAAGCAGCACACATACCATAATAGAAAAGTCATGCATAAAAGAAATCAGACCCCTGGGAGCAAGATTCTGAAAAAAAGAAAGAAATTCAACCATGATTGGTAACACCAGCAGTTTACGCCTTTGAGCAACTTGTGACAAGGGCTGGCAGGACCATCATGCCTGTTATGGCTAATGCAAAGCAAGCAGGTTCAAAAGATGACAAAAGATTAAAAATTAAAAATGTGTGCTTCAACTTTGACTTTATTGCAATTTAGTATATTTACATAACACTAAAGAATAATGTTTGTTGTTTTATGTCCTTTTTATTAAAGAATTTCTTACTTGGATTAATAATTACAACCCTGTTTGGGAAGGTGGAGTGGCAATAATAGAAGAAAAGTGCCATAACTGTCCAAGAAAACAAAAGATTTTCTATTTCTTTGACAATTTCCCACCAAGTAAAACTTGGAAAACAAAATATTTGGGGGGCAGTAAATGATAAAGCATTCATCAACATTATTGTTATATTTCAAGCTTTTTTAAAAAAATTAAACGTTTCTAACCATAAAAAGAGAAATTTCAGCCCATGTTGGTGCTTTATCCAGACTGTGTAGAATGCTGAATAACAAAATTAAATTTCTTTAGATGAGCCTTGAATCTCAAGTTTAGCCAAGAAAAATGATGCAGCCTAA